TTTTAGCGTGTGTTCTGGAAGCTGAGCTTGTGTGCATCAGAAAATAATCTGGCAAAGCAGCTCCTTTGGCTTGCCTATTTTTCTGTGGATCTCTGCGAGAGAGCGAGCGAGCATCGGCAGGGGGATATGGCCCATTCAAGGTTGTGGAATTTGCGCGGGATATTTTTTTTTCTGTATACCTGCTCTATCAGAAAAAGGTCGTTGTAACCTGCTCGGTCTTCTATTGTAAAGCAGGCAGGTAGAGTAACGAAATGTGTCAGGTAGAAATCAGGTTGGAGAAGAGAGCGCCCCTGCTGCTGATGGATTTACTGCAGCGACCTTCATCCCCCGCAGGCACACACGCATTGTCCTCCTCCCCCATCGCGTGTAGGGTGCGGAGCAAACAAAATAATTCTCTCCAAAGGGCTGTAAAATCCGAAGGGGAGGAGAAGAAAAGGTGCATGCGAGGAAAAATTCCATTATTTTGGGCTCAGCGTTGCTTTTTCTCCAACTCTTGAGCGTTTCAGCCTGAGAGCGTGACTAATGCCCCGGGAAAATTTCATTTCTGCTCACTCACTGACCAGCCCTTCGTGTATTGAGTTTTTGTGTTTTCCATCGTTTCTATTATTCGAATGCTCAACGACCGTTGGGACGCGTCCCAATGTAATCCTCTCGACCGCTCTCTCCCCGCAGCTTATTTATTCCTTTTGCAAAATGCATGGGAAAGCGCACTTGTTGTTTTCTCATCCACTTTTCCCGCGTTTTCAAAAAAATTCACCTCGCTCACTGGCTAATTTAAATATCTATTTTTAAATATTATGTTATTTATTTTATGGGTAAAATAATTTGAAGTAGAATTTGTTTATATGTTTTTATCTAATATTTTAATTTTTATAAATATATTCAGTGTATTTACTTATAGGTAGAAATAAAAAATTAATAAGCAATATTATTGAAATCTAGTGTGATTAATGATTAAATTTTGTAATTAAATACAAGAAATAAGAAGTTTCAAAAAAAGCTAATGTATAATTAATTAGATGATCAAATTTTGATTTACTTATTACTTTCGCATCTGCTTCGTATTGTTAGATTTCATTGAAAAAGTTCCAATTAATACTGATCTATTCATAAACAAATTGATTTATTTTGGCATAAATAATAAATTTCTAAAATTTCTGTTGGTGACAGTAGCGGTCTAGCGGTTAATTTAATTTGCCAGAATAGAGCTTTTGACACTACCTACATATCGTCGCCCCATTCGATATATTTCTGATCATTAACATTTTAGCCACTGAGCATAATAGATGGAACAGTGGCGAGATTTTGCAGGAGAGTCAACCAATCGATGGGGCTTGGAATTCCATTTCATTGATTGATTCTTGATTGTTCCGTGAATTCCGAGAGACTCATTTCCTCCTCTTTACTTTACCTTCCAGCCATGTGTTGAACCGTGGAAAAAATTCGATTCAAAGAAATCAATAGGCGCTTCCAGTGGCGAGGAGGAAATGGGTTTTCAGCAATTTAGGCAGGCTCGCGTTTCTCAGCGGGACAAAGCGCTTCCAATTTGATTTGAATCACCCCAGAGAGCTTTTTGCCCTATGACCCGCCACATATTTGGATTGCTTGATCAGAAATCAAATTTTCATTGCTTCATTACTTTGATAAAAAGGGGAAAAAATTGGGCTTTCTATAAGAATTTATTTTATTTGATTTTTAATTAGTCAGAGTTTAATTCTTTGAATCGGTAAATCTTAAAATTGAAATAATTTATTTGAAATAATTTTCTTCTGTGTTCATATTTCATAATAATAAAGCAACTATTAAAAGTTTAATAATTATGAGATTAGGCAGCAACGAGCATCTTTATATTCGATTAAATTGTTTATTAAAATGGATTTTTGACTGAATGTATTTTTTTCCTCCCAAGGGCTACATTTTATTGTACAAATGCAAAGGTAAAATAAACATATAACAAATATAGTTATTTAAAATCTAAAATATTTACCTTTCATCTGGTTCTACATATTCTATAAAAATAGAATAATTTGAAAAAAAAAATGGGAATAAAAAGGTATTATATTAATTTAATCATTTATAATTAACCATAAATAATTTGAATAATTTAAACTATTAAATCTTTAATTTAAATTTTTATTTATAACCCAATTAAAAAAATAGTTTGTTCTTTTTCAAATAAACATATTATTTTAATTGTCTTGTCTATAAAATATTTACATAACGAGCTAACATCTTGTTTTAAATATTAATTAAAATCTAATTTTCATTTTGAAAGGCAAAATTAAATATTTGCGCATCATTTTTTTTTATAATTGTTGTGAAACAATTAATTCTCCCACGTGGAGGAGACGTAAATGAACCCCATAAAGTGAACCATCATAGCTTGATCACGAAACCCGCAAAGCGCCGAGCACGAATTCGATGGCAGTTTTTGCATCGAGGGCCGCATAAATGTGCGCATAGCGTTAGATGGAAGTGAATATATGGGTTGAGCTGCTATTCATTTTCGGAGAGAAGCAAAAACGAAAGAGCAGCATCAAGGCGGGCAGGCAGGTGCGATCATCTTTTCCTGCGAGCAGCAGCAAAAGACACACACCTGGCGATCGTTTCGTTTTCGCCAGGGACTGCACACACAAAAAAATGTAAGAGAAATAAGAAGAAGGAAACCTCACGCATGTATGAGAGCGAAATAATACTGTTGAGTGGGGCGACTCATCTCTGCTCTTTCGCTCCACATGCACGCGCACTTCTTTTTATAATAAAGTAAATTATTAAAACTTCTCTGCGCGACGACGAAGCATGGAACTCGATCCTTTATGCCGATTATTCGGGTGATGCTCTCTTACCTCACAAAAGATAATCTTCAAATTTTATTGGGCGAGAAATCGTGCAAAAATTAACTAACAATACGATCTTTTCTGCAGCTGACAATGAGTGTTATTTTATTTATAAATAAAAACGTTAAAAGCTTTGAAATTTTAAAAATGAAAATTAATTTTAATACTTAGCGGGTTAATGAAAAATACTTGAATCACTTATTTCCGTTTGAATCTGGATTACTATTTTATTGAAACGTTACTGAAATTTGGTACAAACAGAGCTATAAATATTTTTCATGGCTTTAAAAGGAAGTTTAGAAAAGATAACTTTGTCAACCCTTTTTTCTAATTTACAGTTGCAAAAGATTGCACAAATTATAAAACTGAATAATTTTTATTGACAAATTTGAAAATTTAAAAATTATATATTAAAGTAAAAAATATGGATATTAAAGAGTAAATATTTTTTAAATAGAAAAAATAGGACGCAATACGCATCAGGCATCAATCGCATCATGGTTTGCAACCCAATTTCATGAGGAAGAAAAGTAAAATAATAAATCGGCACAAATCTATTTTTATTTAAAATTAAAGTTTTAAAATAAGAACTCCTTTAATGAGCAATAACAAAATATGCAATGGTTTAACTGTTGTCTTGAGTTTATTACTTAATTTTATTGTTCCTTCATGACATATAGGATGACAGACCGCAATTCACAATCAGACGAGTGAGTTTGGTGGAGCCTATCATTTTTAGATAAATACAAAATTTAAGAAGAACAAAGCCCATCTTTCACTTAAAATCTTGCAACCCCTCAAAAACGCACTTCTCTTGAATTTCCATTGTACATTATTTTAAAATTCAATAAACGAGTGAAAAATAATACATTTTTTCACTTGAAATTAATAAAAAAAATGAATTATTTTTATTTTTGGGTAACTCAATCCAAACCAAAATCATTTTTACTTTTTTAAATTCATTTTGTCGTTAAACAATTATTCACAATAGTTAAATTTAAGCCATTTTTTTTATTTTTTAGTATTAAACTTTATCATGCGACCCAGTCGTCCTACCCTGCTGACGAAACCCTTTGTCACCAAGGCCCTGTTGCCGATTGTGCATGAGGTAAAACGATCCAACACTCTATAATAAAGCCCTCAAAGTGTTTGACTGCGGTTTCGCTCACGCTATTTCCTTGCCCGGAACATCAACGTGCATTATTTTCATAATGGAGGTGAGTCAGATTTTATCTGTTTCGGCGTGCAAGGAAGCAGCAGGTGATTTTAATTTTCCTTGTGTTGTGAGAGGCGCAAAAGTCGATGAACTCTCGCTCCCGAAGAAAAGTATAATGGCACACGCCGTAATCTGAAGGCATTCACACATAAATAAATAAATTTATAATTAAAACTTCACGTTTTAAGGGCAACATAATGGTTTTTTTTATTTAGAAAAGCTTTTGCTGGTCATAGAAGCTGCAAGGGAGTAATTTGAAAATAACCACTGACGCATTTTAGTTATTCCCTTGGCAACCTCCAATGATTTATAATTTTTATATATATAATTTGAAAATAAAATTTAATAGACAACATTAACTGGAGAAGATTGTACACAAATGAAATAATTGGCGGTTATTGCGATTTGCTTAAAATTAAATAAATACAATGCTTTTTTGTACATCAAATTCTGTCTACTTAAAATCGTCAACCGAGCATAAATACATAAAAAAACTCATCCTTGAGAGCGATTATCTAACATGTGGTATGAGAAAGATCAGTCAATTCGGAAATGAATGAAACAGTGCTCGCCTTTCTTCTTCCTTGCGGCGCTCCACAGCGAGATTTATAATCATATGACACAGTGTTTAATATTCTCACATGAAAGGAATGCATGTAAAGGTACGAGAGGGACTCAATCCAGTTGGTCTGATAACAACACACACACAGTGCTAGCAACACTTTTCCTGCCCAAAAAGCAGGTTCTTTGTGACAATTAGGCCAACGGATGTCAATTCCTTACTTTTTTTTTTTACAAAAACACAGACAAATTTTGTTTCTCTTTTAATTCTGTGATGAGAAGAGACTCTGATAAAATGTTACTTGGCAACATATAAGCAGCGATTTGGGGGTTGAATTAATTAATTGAGATGTAAATTGATCTTATTGTAATATAAAGTACTCTCGCAGTTTTTGCTATTAATTTATTTAAGAAAAAGAATTTATCGCAAACGCATAAATTCGTTTCTTGCCTTGCTTCGTAAAAGCCACTCTATGTGTAAACGATCAAAATCACCATAGGTGCGTGACAAGCCGTACACGCATGCATCAATCAATTACATTTTCAATTTCATCAAACGTCAATAAATTCTTTTGCTTATTGTTTCACATATTAGCTGATTCGGATCAGTCTTACTCGCATCAAAAGTGCCCAACTCCTTTCTATGGTCGGGTCAATCTGCCCCCTTGTCGTTGTGCAGATTATATATGATTTTTTATTTAAAACGCGACCGAGAGATCACATTATTCATTTTTGATTATTTGTGTATCTTTTAAAGAAGGCAGATTCCCAAGATCAGCAACCGTGTACTTTCCCGTCAATTATTTAAATTTATGTAATGTTGTGAAATATATGGTTTAGGCTCTGAAAACAACAATCAAGCCTAATTTTAAACCACAGTGTACGTATATCATTGCATCATCATTTCAATAATGGTAATTGGGGCCATTCAAAAGGCTGTCCAGCACAATAGTGTTCAGCCTAATTCAAAGGCCAATTAAAAGTTTTCCACTTTCCGAGTGACAAATCAATCAGATCTCCTGGAAATGTAAAGGGATGAACTGAAACGTACTCGGTACAAGCCAAACTTTTGATTTTTATTTTTAAAGATGGCACTAATTGTTCCTTTCGAGCCTTTTGAATCGCCCGCTAAAGTTTTTCTTTATCATTACATATTTTTCTGCAGCTAATTTATGAAAACATCAAACCTTACTTAGTTAAGTGGGAAAGGAATGTGAATTTGCACTAATTGTTAATATCAAGCTTTAATTCATTGCTGCCGGTTTGGTTGGGGGTTTTGTCGCCATGGAGAGAAGAGATAGTCAAGATAAATAGATTATTGGGTGAAGACAATAAAGAGCGCGTTTCTATCATTATCCTGCCAATCCTGTTTTGTTTCACCTTTGTCACAGTATAAAAAGAATTTTGTAATTGTAAAAGTGAGCATTTGTGAGCCAACATTCGAAGATAATATATGTAGTACTAAATTGTTTTTTCACACGGCTGATGTTGGTTGTCCCTGAAAGGGTCACACCCTTTGACCACCTTTTCAATTTAGCGTCGGAAACCACCGCGGTATTGCCGTACAGAGTAATATAATAAATTTTTTCATGTTTGTGTGTAGACCCTAAATTTAATGACTATCAGGTGGTTCAGAAGTGTGTTTGAATGTGTAATTAATTATGCAATTAAATGGTCCACCCTGCGGTTAATATTAACATGACTTGCGAAAAAGTGGTTTTCACATGTGGGTGCTGGCCTCGTCGAGACCTGTGCTCGAAGTTCTGTTCAGCTCGGAGTGATCTGGACTCTGCGACCGACTGGAGCTGCTTGAGTCGGACCAGTTTGGAGGCGGCGGCAAATGCACACTGAATGGTGGTGAATCAGTCAGCAAACCTGACCTGCAATTAAGGAACAGTTAAAAAATATTCTAAATTTCCAGAATAAAAATGAAAATTTGTGAAATATTTAAAAAGATTAGAGATGTCAAATTATAGTTAGTATAATAGGTTAAAAGTGTAGAAACAGAGAGTATTTTAAGAGACTACATTGCAAAAATTAAAGAAGACAAACACTTGGTTCAAACAAAGGCACAAATTAACAGTCAAACCCAGACCATATTTATTATCATTAAAAATAAATAAACTTCCAAAAGTGTTTTAATTCAAGCAACACAATTTAAATATCTGCCATTCTAAACTAGAAATTTAAAAATCAGGCTAATTTCTAAAAAATTAAATTTTAATTAAAAAATGACGTAAATATTATTACTTCATTTTGCGTTTGATTAGTAATTTACAATAACTTACTTAAGTCCCAATATAAAACTGTTTTCTTAAAACTTATCTTTTTTTAAACAAGATTTAAAAAACAAGAATTAATTTGAACATTTCATTCCTTGTCTGCCTTAAAAATTCTGACTTCTGACTAATTTGAGTGAATCATCCTGCCGGATGAATCACCACACACGATTAATAAAATCTAATCAAAATCACCTTGACCTCCTAGTGGGCAGTGTGAGGCTTGTTCGATAGCCATTAGCTGTGTTGGGCGTCACGCTGTGTGGCCGCCTTTGCAGGGTCATCGTCTCCTGGGGTGGCAGAGGCGCCGGCTCCTGGTCCAATTCGTGAGCGCTTTTGCAGTTTTCGCACTCGCTGCGGTAGTCGTCGTTTTCATCCGGGCAGCTGCATGTGCTGCGGTTCAGGGCGTTCATTGCCGCCAAGTTGCTCTCCAGGGCGGCGGCCATCATGTCTCTGGTTTGCTCCACATTGACATATTCAACGACTGACGAGCCTGTCGCCACTTGGACATCTTCGTAGAACGCATCGGAACTGGAAATGCATTAAACTTTTAGCATAAAGGTTAGTTTTTACTCTAATTGTAAAAAAAATTAATATAAATTAAAACGTTCTCCTGGAAAATTCTTAAAGATGGAATATCCTAAATACACCATAAAAGTTTTTTTTAAACTTTTGCAACTTTTTTCACTAATATGAATGCCTTGCCTAGATAACAATTGGCTTCAATAATACAAATAAAAATACCAAAAATGACTTTGTCTCGAAACAAAAAATTGTTCTATGGCAATCAGACCATATTGTTCTTAAGGACTCCTTCATTAACATAGTCTATTCTGGTCTTTGCAGCAATTAAAAGGAAATTTTAGCAACCATTTTTGTAGATTTCATTTGACTGTGCCAATAAGTGAATTATGACTCTTCGTCATTTAATATCCAAGTCAACAATCATATAAAAAATGTGGCTTTATAAAAAGAGATTGTGAAATTAAAAAAATAGCTTAAAATATTCCTAAAATAGGTTTAAAAAAAACTCATAAAATATTATAACAATTGAATTAACTATTCTAAAATGTAACTTAACAAACCTGATAGCCTGTTGATTTTCAGGCTCGGGGTTTTGCCCTGCAGTCGGAAGGGCAACTGTAAGCATGTCCACCACTTGGGGAGGTCTGTTGTTATTTGCAATGGCCATGCGGGCAGGAGCGGCCGCTTCTGCCTGCGCAGCGGCCACGGCCTCCTCGTACGGCGGAGGAGCTTCTCCTCTTGGGAAGTAACTCTCTGGTGGCTTCCAAAGAGCAAAGTTGACTCGAGGATCGGCGTCGTAGGGGCAGTCGATAGAATCTTGCATGTAGCCCATTGAGCCTGGGAGATAACCAATGCTGCCAGCGATGTAGCCAATACTGGCCATCGAGTGGTCCTCCTCGGTCAGCTGCCGATTTTGCCGCCCTGAAATTAAGAAATAAAAAATGAGGAAAACGATTCCATCTTAAATTCGGTTAAATTGTTTTTAAAATATGAATAAAGTTATAAATAATTAAAAAAAGTTGTCTGGGAGAAAATAAAACATAACTGGAAGGTACATTTGATTACTAAAATTTATATATGATCAAATAAGAGTGTTGAGGAAATATAAAATGTGGAAAATTTTGTTAGTGTTCAATAAAAAATCAAATGAAATTGAAAAATATTATATTATATATTATATAGGGGTTTATTTTTTAAATTTGATTTAACTTTCAGTTTTTATAAAAAAAAATATTTTTAACGTTAATTTTCAATGATAAACAAAGGTTTAAAATGAATAAAATTGACCTAATATCAAATTCCTTGTTATATTTGACCCTATTTTACCAAGATATAACATAAACTATCAAAAGGTGTGCCCAGATGGGTCTAATAAATAAATAATAATAAAAAAAAAAAAACAATAATGATTTAACTAAAAATGAAAATAAAGTTCATTTTAAAGTGGATTGATGTGTGTCAGGCTTCAAAGTTATCCTTTTTTTACCTCTAATTTTTCTTTTCCGCAGCCTGTGCACCAAGAAGAAAAGCAGCGAGACGGAGAGGATGATCATAATGACACAGGCCACCAGGCGCATGCCAAGATCATCATGCATCACATCGTTCTTGTTTAGAGTGTCGTCCAGGCAAATGAAGTCACAGCAAGAGGCACCAAGCCTGAATGACTTGCAGTCCTGAGCATGAATTAATTTTGATTAGGGCAATTTAAAGCTAAATCATTGATTTGTTTTCTTACAGGCTCAACTTACAGATTAAAACATTTTTTTTTTAAATTAAAATTCAGTTCATTTTAAAATAATTAAAATTTTCTCACACATACATTAAATTTAATTGTGAGTGAAGCTCTATAAGAATTTCATGGTGTACAAACATTTCGATTCCATGGAATGATTAAATTATTCAAAACTCACCATGGGTGGTGAGCAGAGAACTGCTTTACAGAGCTTTGGGGCTCCGTTGTCGCACACACAGAGGGTGCACGTGTCTGGTCCAGGTACATAGTGGATGTCTGGGGCCACCAGACGCCCATGCATATCAACGCACGGCTCATTTCTGCCCTCTGAAATATTTATTCAATTGACAATTAGTAAAAAGTTTAGGCCAAATAATTTTTTATTTAACAAAATCGACTCTTCTTTGTTTAAAATTAAAAATTATAATAATAGAGAGATGGAAATCAACGCTGGGAATAAATTTGCCGAGCCGATAGTTCAGCTCCGGTGACCTGCAATACCTGCACGTCTAATTGGTAGGCCATTGTGCAAAACGATAAAGCGTGTCTGCAACGCAAACATGCATGCCGAGTTGGAAAATGAATTTATGCAAGCGCTGCAAGCAACAGCAGCCGCCGACAAAAGAAAGAAATAAAGAATTGTGCCCCGACAGTCACCTCTGGCGCGAATAAAAAAAACTCAATCAAACCCACGGCGTCGGCACAAAAGAAACTGGTTTGAACGAGTTGTGCTCCGCTTGCATTCAATTTTTCATTTTCTTTCACTTCGCCACTATAAATGATGCACACCGAAATGGTATTTTCGTATCAACTTTCAATTCGTGCATAACAAGCATTTCGCCAGCTATGCAAATAATTCGAAACGGCAGACTGTCTGAAATGAAAGCAATTATGACAGAATAAATTGTGCAATCAAGTACAAAGAGTTTTACTGCTAATGAGCTTTTTTATAAGTTTTTCAATTCCGGATCCGGGACCATTTTGCACAAAATTTATTTCCCCAAAAGGATCTTTTGCATTGCAATAAATTAATATTTTTTTTTAATAAAACATTGAATTTTTGTGCGTTATTTGAAAAAAAGGCACCAACACAAACAAAGATTTCCCTCAAACTGGCGAGGTAAAAAACCTCATAAGCCGCACTGAGCTTTGCATAGGGAACTATTAAATACCCAAGGATCACAAGTCAATGTTTTGTGAAATTCTCATTCATTAAAATCATTGAATAATAGAGCGCTGGAAGTTGGAAATAAAAATAAAATGTTTATTCTATTAATCAATAAATTAATTAATTAACATCTGATAATTGGGTAAAATTGATAACCACTATTAAATAAAAATTAATAAAATAATATGAAATTTGTTGCATAATTGGAAGTTAATTTTTTTTTATTTTTATAAATATTTTTTTTTACATTATATCAATTTTTTTAATATTATTACGTTTTATTTTATTAATGAACTGTAATTAATTTTTATGATTGTTTTTTAATATCATTTAATTTTTAAAAAAATAATCTTTCGGATTTATTATTAATAATAATAGTCTTGGCAGCATAGAAACGGAGAAAATTTCTTTGAGCAGATAATTAGAAGTAAAATTAGCATAGAAAATTTAATTCAATTACATAATATTCAACTAAAAAGCAGAAATAATACTCATCAATTAATTGTATTTTTTTTAATGAGATAATTATTCAAACCCAAAGATAAATTTAACCCGTGCATTTATCCAAACGAGATTGCTGCGGTCATCACCTGCTGCAGGCGCAAAGCTTTACAGTTAACCAAATAAGCAAGTGCCCTCACCAATTACAATTCACACTTTATGGGCGCGCGGGATTGTGAGCCAAATGAGGCGCGTCTAACTGTTCGAATCACGCCAACCTCGAAAGCAGCAACCCGCCCTTAGCAACTCTCTTCGCGGCGCCTATTTCGCTGGCCAGGCTCAGGAACACGCCTTGGCGAAAAGTACACATTCGCAATGACAGGCGAACAAAGCAAAAGGTTTGTTGGCCCGTGGGGCGGATTCAGGTCAATCGATGCGTACCTGAGGCGCCGAGCAGAAGGGCCAGGCACACCAGCAGGCTGCTCATCCCGTGCCCACCAGCCCCATCACGCTGCGCCTCAAATCATCCCCCGGTGTGGGTGGACGCGTTTTTTCAAAGGGTTGTGTCTGCTTCGCTTTGCTTGCTGATGTTGATCGATCTGCGAAAACCTGGTCTCCGCTGCTCGGCAGGCAAGGCGAGTGGATCGCCCAACGAATCGCAGATGTTTACATTCGCGAACCTGCGCAACGAACTCTGCGCCCGCGTACCCACTTTAGTTTGAAAACGCCGCGAGAAACACGTGCAGCGGCAAGCAGGAAAAAGTAAAAAAAAAAAATCAAAAAAATCAACTTGCACATAAAACGAAAAATAATGTACAGTGCCCACGAGATGATAAAAAGTAATATTTCCATAAACAAAATAATATATTATAATAATGTTTAATCAAAGTATTAAATAACATTTTTACTGTTTCAATAAAAGTAACCCTCATTTTACTAAACATAATTTGAGCTGCAGATTTTTGCCAGGAGCTAAGAGCAAAATAAAAAAAACCCTTGAAGAAAGCGGCAGTCGGAAGAATCAGGCAGTCGTCTAAACTCTATCTGAGGCGAAGGTTTAATCTCAAGATTCGACTTTTTAAATTCAGATTATGGGAATTTTTGTTTCGCAATTATATTAATTAAATTTTAGGCAAAAATTTTACAATCTTCATTTAACTGCTATATACGGTCATAAAAGTTGACCGTTTCCTAATATTTTTCTTTGAAAATTAATTGCTAGATCCACTGATTTAACAGGGACTAACAAATGAGTATAAGCAGCAAAAAAATTTATTGCTCAAATTATTGAACATTTGATGGCAAAGGTTATTTTACCTCTCAAAATATTAAAGAGAGGTTGGAGAGATTTCAAGTGACATATAGTTCTGCGTTTGTCCGTACGCAAAATCGTAGATGTCGTACTAGCCTAAGCGCTCGCAAGCAGCGTTCTCCGTACAGCCTTTAGCCGATTCCTCAGACTACCAATTCAAATTTGAAAGCGACACCTAACTACTAAAATAGTAATAAAAAATTATATTAAGACTAAACAATATATTTTTTTTTTTTGCTAAAATATTGTTCCAAAATTGTCAATTCATGTAAAGGGAATTAAAAGAAAATCATATTAAAATTATGATTAGCCCCTTTTGATGGGAGCTTCAGAGCTTATCTTAATTTATTATTTGATTATATTCTCATATCATTATTGTTGAAAATAAATTAGGGAAATTATTTCCCTTAGGAATAAACCAAATTTTAATTTTCTTTTCCAAATTTTAATACATTTTGTTACTCTGATTGGTGATGCTCGCTATATTATTTTAAGGAAATTTTTATGTTCAGCTTTAAATAAAAACACTTATATGAGAAAATAATTACACGAAGTACTTTTGTCACCCCTCCCAAAAGTTAGTAATTGCATCACGTGCAGCTTAAAAAACAGGTGCATGTAAAAGTAGACCTCGAGATGCAGATTAGGATTTTAATTTATCGGCACAGTTGGCTCCCCGCTGCAGCAATGAGCGGGCGGTTGTGTTTTTTGGTCTTTGCGTTTCTCCCCTTTGGAATCGCCCAGCTTGAAACTGGTTGTTAAAAAATTTTCACTTAAGTAGTAATTTTGATTGATATTTTGCTTTTAATTTAAATAATAATAATTATGCATATTTAATTTTTTCTTTTTATACATTTTTAAAGCTGGTCGAGAAGCCAGGTGGGCTCCCTATGGGGAACCTTATCAGGAACGGGTGGTCAGCATGCTTCCCGGCACTGATTTCCCGCCTTCCTTTCCTCCGTGGTCGCCTCTGAACCCTTTCGAATATCCGCCTCCAGCGCCTCCGTCAATTCCATTTCCATACGGCCCTCTTGCCCAGTACTATCCGCCTCCACCGCCTCCGCAGCCGCCTGTGGTCATTCCTGTTGTGGCCAATCAGGAAAAACAGGAGCAAAATTCAAAGGTAAATTTGATTAGGAAAATTTTTGTCTGACCAAATAAGCACTTTTATGAAAATATGATTAACACAGAAAATAAATATTGAACTATAAACAAAATTATTCATTTCTTATTTGCAGGCAGAGAATTGAAAATCAAAGTCAAATTTTACCATTCACTGTTCTCTCCCATGCGCAGAAAGGTTTACAAACCACTAGTAATTTACAAAAAATTACACGTACGTCCTGTCAAAGATAATTTTTTTGCAATATCTTTGTGAAATAAAATTAATAGTGAATTAAATTAATTGAAATATTTAATAATTTATTTCATAGCTATTTTTTCTTATTTTTATTGAAAGTAAATTTTTTTAATTGACGAAATATCAAATTAAACAATTTTCCAGGACTTGGACGTTGGAGTTTACACCGGCATGGACATTCCCTGGACTCACATTCCTCCCTTCAGCACTACCTACAAAGCGGGACTGGGAGCCCAAACACCTCCACCCTTAATGGGCAATTACTATCCTGCGCCTACTTACCCGCAGCCACCTGCACCTCCAGCGTATTACCCACCACCTGCCTATCCCTCTTATTATCCACCACCACCGCCACCACCGAGTCAACCCTTCGCATGGCCCTACGGATATGGAGGACTTGGTCACTGGCACCCGAGGTCAGCCCAATATCCAAACAACCTGATGCGCCAGCAGGGCGGATTTGGCATCAGGAGAGATGACGATGACGTCAAACTGACTGTAAATCCGAGTTTTTGAACTTCTTAGGTACTTTTCAATAGTTCCACAAAAAAGGCACAGTATTTGAGAAATTTGGATGAAATTCAAAGCATTAAAAAATATTGTGTTTGAATTGATGGGTTTGATTTTTGAGTCGTTATATTGTTTCGTGAAGAAAAAAATAATATTCTGATATTTTAAACTCAACATAGGCAACCGGCGTTACAGTGATTCATTGCAAGTAGACTAAATTTCAGTAATAAAATCTTAAATAATATGGTTCTGCTGTCAAGATAATAAAATTGTAAAAACAATCCTTTTTAAATAACTCAATCTGATTCTTTTTTCAAATATTCTAATAACAAAATAAATCAATGATTGATTAATTATTATTTTATTTTTTAATTTGAAATCATTAAATTGAAACTTGGATTATTTGATGAATTAAATTATTAACATTTTATCAATTTCCAGATGCACGTACCAAAGGACGGTCCACCTGGTGGTGTTTTGGTCATGGAAATGAAAGCCAACGTCTATCGTCCCGTTTATTAAATGTATTTTCATGACAAACTTTCAATCACTCAAATAAATCAATTCCAAATGACGTAGAGAAAAATGCTCTTGTGATTTCTGCCCTCATCGCTCTCTTCATATTGGAGATTGCATTAAGCTGGTAGCAATCTGGTGCGGAAAAATTGCATATTGCACGGTTATGTACTTGGGGCGAACCTTTCAGCACCAACCGTACTACAATATATTGAATAATGCATTAGTTTCCAATGCAGAGTGAGAGAGAGCGATGATGAATCAAAAGAAAAATTAAATGCAGATGAGTCCGCGGAAAATTTGCATGTTATTAAAAAAAGTGTCGGGGAGCCTCTTTTCTCTCCTCGAACGGATTTTTGCGCGCGACGTGCGCATATTTAATTTTTTTCCCCGAGTTAAGCGCGATTTTTCCCAGCGTCGGCATACAAGGTGAGAAAAATTCATTTCTGCAGCGATGGAAATAAAGCGAGAGAGGCGACAGATGGCCGTGGGTGACCCTTGACGCTCTAACTGCCACTGCTGGGAAACATGTCATGCATCACTCTAATTGCTCTTGCATTTTAAGCAAAATGGTTCGGAGTGGAAATTCTGCGACGTGAAAGATGTGACGCGGCACCGATTGCGAAAAGGTTCCACTGATTTGCATACAACTCCACACTCCAAACATACTTTTTAGACTTGGTGCTTGTCGATTTGCTGAATGTCAATTAGAAGCTTGTGGAGAAGAAAAATTTTGGTTTTGTAAATGCAGAAATTTAAATAAAAAAAGAATGGAAAATTCGCAAAATTTCCTTTCTCATATTTTTAAATCTTTCGTTTTGCACTGATCTGAATAAAATTAAAAACAATAAAATAATCTCAATAAGAAGTTAGATTGAATCAACAATTTGATGATTATTTGACTTCAAATTGCCTCTCTTTATGAAAATTAATAATTTTGTTTTATTTATAATATTTGGGATATTTTGCTAAAAGATAATTTTTGTTTTTAGCTAGCATAAAAAACCAAAATTAACAAACAGATTTTATAGAACAATAATAATTCAGTAAAAATTGAAATGGAGTGTTTTTAATAATTAATTCCAATTTTTCTGAGTCATGACAAGTTATGTTACAAAAGGCTAGTAAAAAGATATAATTTTTTTAAAATTACTTTCCTTACTTTCAATCAGTCTTTCTTGTCACTTTGACAGGTTGACGCAGAAGATATTGGCGTAATCTATGTTTACAAAGCAGGTCTGTGTAATTAATTTTAACGCCATCATATAATGTTGCAATTAATAAATCACCAGCCGCATTGACGCGGTTTTTTATGGGCTCCTGTTCTTAAACTTTTGTCTTCTAATAAATGAGTTCAGGCACGGATTGGAGCTTATAATTAGATAAATAAAAATTTGAGAAATGTTGAGAAAAAAAATCATACTGTAGTAATAGCTAGTATGAATAATTGCAATTAAAATAGCATAATAATAATTGAAGTGAGAACTATGTAGACAAATATGCGTTCAAAAGTTAATACAGTAAAAAAAATTTGTCAAATTATATTGCTGAAAAATACATAATTTATTTAAAAAAGGTGATGAAAACCAAAGTTTATAAAAAAAACTATTGGAATGACCAAAAAATTAAAAAAAATTAGGGACTTCATTTTGGTGGTAAAAACTAAACTTACATATTTAACAAAAGTGAGAATTTTAAAATTTTGAAGATGAAAACTTACGTAAACGATCAATAAAATAATGTAAAACAAAATTAAAGAGTTCCATCAAGTAAAAGTACCGACTTACCGAGGGACTTATTAAAAATAGTTTAAAACTTATTAATGAAAAAAAATATAATAAAATAATATTAATGAGAATGAAAGAAAAAGCGCAGTCCGTGCCTAAGTATAAGACTTGCAAGTTCTGAACAGGGCGGTTGAAAAGTTTGCATCATCGAACGGCTGAGAGCTGACGGGTGGGAGGAAGGAGATGATAATATTTTGTATAATCGACGTTTAAACAGCGCCGAGTGCTTTATGATTGAAGGCGGCGTAGCTAGGGAGGCATTATTATGTGCCGGGGGTTGACAGCGGGGTGGCTCATCTCGCGGCGGTGGCGGCGGCGGCATTGTCATCGCGATCCGGTGACGAGAGAGATGAAGAAGAACTACAGTTTTATCGATCCAAGAGTAAGAGAGAGAGAAGCGGCCGCTTCTCTCTGTGCGGCTCATCTTAATACAATCAAAACAAGTCATAATAGGGCGCGCAGCAGCTACACCAAATTAGTCGGCTCTTCTTCCACAATAACCGCCAGGATGGCACCCGCGCGCGCAAAGGGTTGCAAACTTCCTCTGCTGCGCCAATTCAAAGGCGCCGCCGCCACACCGCAGCTCCAGCTGCGGAACAAAGAATTAATCACGAATTATGTGGAATTAAGTACAAGAGATCCGGCCGCCGCTTTTAATTAAGCCCACTCGCTGCCCGAGTGCAGATAGTGCCGCACCGAATGTAGGCGAGACGGATTTTCCGCGTTATTCGCTCTTTTTGTGGGAAAAGCCAGAGCCTTTTATGTCGCGCAGTATTGACAATGAGCCCTCGCAAAATTACGGTTGCAAATCCCTGAGGTTTAATCTGCGCTGGTCTAATATGGAATAGGTTGAAACTAATTTTTTTTCTTCTAGTAAATTTTACTTGCAATTAAAATTATATTAATGTCAGGTGTTTTGAAGCAATTAAAAGTCTTGGTTTACCTTTTGCAAAACAAATAAGTTTGTTTCATTTACATTCATGGATGTTTTATTTTTGTAATTTATTTTAGACACGTCTAAATTACTCAAATGGCGACCAATAAAAGGACTATAAATGATTAATCCTTTAAATTAATATGAAATTTAATTTTTAGTGAATGTAGAATCATTAAACTTACGTTAACATAATTATAGATTTAAATTATTCAAACATCTCAATTTTTCACAAAAATTGATAATATTTGATCAACTTTTTGGATCTAAAAAGTGAAGTTTCATCAAGATAAATAATAAAAAGAAAATAAATCATGAATCAGACTATTTTCCCACTCATTAAAATTGTAAATTATGTAATTTGGCGTGTTTTAAAAATGAAAAGGATTAGTTGAATTAACGTTTTATTAACAAAAAGGCATACTGATGCGGATGACTTCTCTTTGTCTTGGAATTTTTACTTTTAGTGGTGCAGTTTTGTCTATAAATTCCTTAAAAAATATTTACTTGTTTATTTCTAAAACAAACTTGTAAGACTTTTACACAATATTATTATTACTAATAAGCAAATACAATTAAGAAGCTACCAGGAAGCTACATTAAATTTTATATTTTCTACTAAAAACAAAAAAAAAACATTCTTCTGATTTCCATTTTTACTGAAAGTACTAAAATTAAGCGCCACAAATAATTGAACTATTTACATCAAAATCGAATTTATTAAAACTTTTGTTATGTATGCTTCAGTAATTAAAATGAGAAATATAGAAATATAATTGTATGGTCAAATGAACACTCCAAAACTTTTTACAATAAAATTATTCCAATATGATTACAACTTAGTAACAAAGATGCATTTTGAAGTTTTTAATTAAATTAATATTTAGTTGATAAACTCACTTTTTGTCATTAAACTTAAAATAAAACTTTTGTTCTTCTTGCACTTAAACATGGATTTTCCCATTTAAACTACAAATTACTTCAAAATTTGTTCAATATTTAACGACTTCACCCCTCCTTTTATGACCATAAAAACAGCAGTGCTATAAAAATCAACAAAAATCCCAGCTAGTTCATATTTGCCAACCTCCAAAATGTACTCTTAAAATAGCGGGGGATGTTACACACGCTCATCAAATCAACGCAGTTCATATTTAATATACACGCACGCACCGAGGGGGGTTGCGGAAAATAAAAACGCGGGCCGAGCCAAAAGGCTAGGCAAACATAAAACGCACTTGGCGCACTCACCGCGAAAAAAAATCACTCGACAGCAGCTTTATTGATTTTTGGTCGTGTGCGTATCAGATTTAATAATTTTCAACTTTACGCCCATGAGCGTTTTTTCCTCGTTTTTAGCTCTACCGTTCCGTTGCCATGCACAAATTAAACCATTTAGCCGTGGATTGTTGTTGTCCGTCATAAAAATTTTAGTGCCGGCTCCTCGGGCCTCTGATGCCAATTAATGCCTCCATTGTTCCGGCCGCGATCGGGCCAATTGTGTGAGTTTTATTTCACCCATCCTCGGCTCTGATTCATCGACCTTTTCCAAATTGAATTCCATACAGAATATTTCAACGCCTCTCCCGCCGAGACGGAGAAATTATTCGCGTGTATAATTTGTGTCGTGATAAATGTGTGAATGGCGTAACTTGAGACCTGGAAGGGGCACGCTGCGTCTGACAGATGGGCAGGTCAACAGCCAGGGTCACTCCGTTGTCACTCGCGCTTTGTTCTGCCAGCGGCTTTTAAGTGCCCGCCTGCGGGATATATAGTGGCGGCGCTGCGTAATTGCTAGTTTCGCTCGCGCTTGAATTATGGATGGGTGATGAAATAGTGTGTGAATTACGGCCAAGAGATGAGACACTTGTATTTTTGCTACTGTTAAATTTGCTTCCCAGATTTAAAAGACAAATCTTTACGATTTCATTCGCCAAAAGTTTAATCAAATATTATCAAAATAAGAACGATCAATCTAATCAAAAGCACCAATTTCGTAAATCTAGACTAATTTATTTCCACAATTTTTTTCCAATCTCGGATGTTTTGTTCTGGATTTTGCAGAGAAAGGATGGCATGCATGGTATATAGGCAACTAAAATGCATTCGTCTTTGTTTTTGACGAGCACTCACCTTTGGTTTTAAGCGGCCGGGGCGTTTTAGCGGTCGGAAAAGAGGGAAAAGCGGAACGCGCGGGTGTGCTATTTTCGCGGCAGCGGCGAGTGAGTGAGAATAAGGCAAATATGGCCATTACGCCTGTGTGAAGCACGGGTATTTTCATCATGCGTCCCTTCGTCTCTCTCTTTTTGCACGCTGGACTCGCCGGGAGTAATGAAAAAAAGCT